GCGGGGGGGGGGTACGAAAACCGCAATCCAATGAGGGCCGGTATCCGTCCCTTGGGCAAGGTCAAGTGCCCAATACACCGACGCTCAATCAAGCCAGTAACCACTGCCACAACCAGAAAGGTGTAGGTTTGTGTGATTTGTACACCTATTCTTGGTTAGCTTGGAACCAGAATTTTTAGCAAACTTCCCTAGGTAAACTGCTAGTGGTTCACCGGCCCGAATGTTGGCTTTTTATCCTCACTTTGGTGCGGAAAACACCTCCACTACCGTGAGACAATGAGTGGAGCCTTTTCAGAAGAGGCTGTTTAAGACGCTTGATCGTATAGAAGCATTTCGTGAGATGCAAGAGAAAAGTAACCAGCCTCAACCCGATATATTTATATATATTTGCCGCCGAGCATGGTGCCAACGCTACAACACTAATACGGGTAGGTGGATTGGGGTACAGAACAGTGGAAAGAGGGTGAAACAGTTAAACACGGGAAAATGGAAGATAACTGGGATAACAAAAATTTTTTGTTTCACCGTATACCTTTTGATATTTTTTTTTGAAACACCCCAGATCATGATGAGGCTTTCGAAGACAACTAAGAAAGTGTGTTTCATTTGTCCGGCGTTCCATTTTTCACTGTGAAGTGTAGACGTTTGTTAGCCATTCAAAATTCATGCCCTTATTGGAAATCGTGCAGAATCTTTGCTCACCGAACCAACTAAGATTCAAGCACACAGTGTGGCCCGTCTGTCCTGTGCGCTACTCATTTGGATCTTCGAGCAACTTACGCAAATTTTGGGTGTGATACGATATTTGCCTGCTAGGCGTGCTCTGTGCATTATCCAGTCTAGGAAGTCTATGCGTGATAACACATTCGAGTAAGATACTCCCACACACAGTTTCGTCCCATCGCATACGCAAAGTAGCAAAACGTCTGCGATTGAAAGCTTTGATCCTTGGTTGTCTTCGGCGAACAAATGAGTCAGCTAAGTGAACTGTATATGCTCTTTTTAATGTCGGCAAGTCTTACTTCAGCATCTTATGTACATCTCAAGTTCGCGTTCCAGGGACAGAGTTCACCACATCAAATGATCTCATCGTTCCTCGGTGCGTAAAGTTGAAATGACATCACCGGCATCCAAATTCGGTGGTTGGCGGCTTCTCTATCACCCAGCTCAGTACGGTCCACATCATACTGACGCACTAAATTGTTCTCTGCCCCGATTCCTTCCATCAACTGGGATTCATTGTCCTGACTGTTTGTTGCAAAATCAGATGTGATAGAAAATAACTTCGGAGGTACGTAAAGTCAGAATTAGCTAATGAACTGAAGGATATTTTAGTTTGTTTCTAATGTTTCAAGCTCCACGGTTAATCCCGTGGAATTCATCCCAGCAGTCTGACTTCATAATTGAGGCTTTCATACACGTAAAGGAAATCGGATTTACTCGGAATACTTTAATTTTAACCAGTACTTAATTTGTGTGTTAGTCATTGGCTGATCAGTCAAGTCAGGTAATTAAGTTAGCGATGGATATTTAGTGTGAGAGCTCTAGACAGCATCTTCGTCTTTATTAGAGTGCTCGGCAGTGTGCACCATTGTTGTATCCATAATGGAACTCAAAATAGAAGCCTTCAAGTTCAAACCCCTATTACTCCACCCTGAGGTATTTATTTGCGCATGATACTGATGGCTAGGTAGCGATCTCAAAGCAGAGTATTTTCACACAAGCATAATTTTAGTACAGCAAATTTCCGTTGCCTGTCAAACCCTAATACGATTCATTTCATTTGCATCTTTTCAGGCCCTTTAAACGAAAAGGAATTTGACCCAAGAGCGAGCTCCCCTACTCGTTTTGTTGTATAGTTTTTACCATTTTTTTCAAGGTAATATTAATGTGGTACTCAACCCCGTGCTTGGTTGCACTTGCTTTGTACACAATCTGATATCCCTTCTTAACCCTGGTGTAAATCTACCCCTCCACGTCTAAATTGTACATCCCCCTGATCGACACACAGGCAGCAACCTGTGAAACACGTCATTCACTATGATTATAATGACGATTGATTGCATATCCACGATGTATTTTTTTATTTATTGATCGCTTCCATGTGTTACTACCTGCCCAACCACAATTGTATACGCTTTGTGCCATGGGAATTTGATGGGTTCTCGTTTTTTCCCCGTCACTTGTTTCTCCTTTATTTGATTGCAATGGTCATTCGCCCGGAAAACCCTTGTTCATTGTTACCTAATTCCAAGTAAGCGGTTGTGGAAACCGTTGGTTTACCATACTGCCTCTGCTTGTTCTTCCTTCTATCCGGCACCTGTCATAGTCCTACTGACCCACTCAGAGTTCCATTGAAAAACAGGTGAAATGTGTTACCGACAATTGCTGTACATTTTGTTTGTACTTGTTTGATGCTTACCATGGTGATGGCGATAGTGTCGAGAACGGTAATGAATTATCTCGGGCGGTGACTTAACTCAAGTTTTTTGTGTTTGAATGGCTTCCTATTCTCGTCATTGTTGTGGCGTTTGTTTCAAAGGGCGCCACGTTTTGCGTTCGACTGTTAGATAAAAAATATTTGAAAACTTCAGCCGAAGACTTCAAATCAGCCTCAGGTACCAGAAGCTGTGTGTGATGGATTAAGGCGAAGTTCAGGTTGCTTTTAGGGTCACCAGTGCACTGATGAATAATTTTCAACTCTGAGCTGCGAGTATCAATTGAATAGAAAAACACGTGTTGTGACCTATTCAAACAATTAGTTCTGTAACCCAGATGCGCAAGACACCCGCGCCATCAATTGCTCAATATTTGCTGATAGCTCACCCGGTTAATAGAATGATATCGTTTTGCTTTATTTTATCCACTCCAAATCGTTTGCTGGTAAGATTTGCCGACGCCGTAGCAACCACCTACCGAAGGCCCTTGTGTCCACAGAAGGATGTCTACATCAATCTGGCCTTTCTCTCGTAACCTCTTTTACTTTAGGTAGCGGTGGTGGTTGTACGACTCAGGTCGTTCGCCTTTTGGGTTCGAGGTTCAAACCCCGTCGACACTATCCAATTTTTGGTGGTTTACAGCTGTATTATCATCCAACTCGTAGCACACCTGCCCAAATAGGTTTGTAAGCGATTCACTGATCTAAGCCGCTAGTTATTGTAAGTGAACAGCAGATCCTCCTGACCGTAGAGCTCATCTCTTCTATTGTACGTGATACCAATCTGTATTATAAAAACGGGATTCCGTTCGCTGTGGTGCGTACAAGTTNACAAGTTAAATGCAGCGAGAATTCGCTTACTTTCAATCGCACTTGACCTCCGGACACGCAAGCATTGTTATCAATCGGGTTTTTACTCATTTGTAACCCATACGGAAGCTCAAATGCTTCAAAAGAGAATTTTCAAAGTTCATTTGTCGAACATGATTTTCGAATGTTACGTAAATGTGAAGGAAGAAAGGCTCGATGGAGATGTGCTCCACTGAAGTCCGTCATTATGTTTATACTTTTTACAGAACGTTTGGAATTCAGCTTCAGTAGCTTTAGCTGAAAGTCGAATACTACTAATGGCGTTCCTGTAACTCCTCCTTCAGCCTTTGTATGACCGCGGCTTCCTTCCTGAAAATTGAGTCTGCATCTGTATATTCAATAAAAAAAAGAATCCAACAGCCACTTTACTTATCTCACAGTACGGATTTAGTTCAGCTTTCTGTATTTACAAATCCTTCATTGTTTTTTCACTTTGTATTCTACCCCACAGTTACCTGCTGGTAGTAGTGTAGGGTAACAGTCATTTTTACTGATCAGTTTGCACTTTTGCCCGCTGTTTTCTGTTCGTCCAGCCAGTCACTCATTGGGTAAGCTATAAATTCTATTCTCGCTCATCAGTAGTGCGTGACCAGCCCTGAACCCCGGAGATTTCGTGTGAAATCTACGTGCTATACCTGCGCCTCATCCAATCAAATCTGCCGTATTGGTAGTTGGGTTGACATCCAAAGCGAAACAATTGAGACGGAATATATATTTTCATCCTGATTGAGGGCTCCTTACGGGTAGTTGAGAGAGGTTCAGCAGACTGAACCGGTAGGAGGACATCCGCAATTAAAAATTTGGACCTATGGAGAAGGATTATTTCCTTTGGATGATGAATATATGTTCACGAGTGCTTATTAGGTGGAAATAGTCAATGTTCCATGCTAGTAAATACGTACGTCGGATGTCTTGAAATTTATACTAGCAAACATTTTAATGTGCAGTTCGCTTTTAACGTTTTCATCGTCAAATGGGTCATATCGCGATGAGGTGGATATTAGATGCATTGCTCTATGACACTTGTATTGAATACTACCTCTTATTAGTGATATGTTTCCAGAACTAGCGCGTATGGAATACACTGAAAGACTTCAATCGATGAATTCCAGGGGCTTAAAACGTATTACCGTTCATGAATGTAATGCTGACTAGGTGAAAGGATGTGAAATTCTAACGGTGAATTTACCGAACGCAAACATGGAAAGCGGATATTAAACTTTCATGGTACGCATGACCTGCCTTTCTCTTTGTTCCCGTAACAAATACTGAGCGCGTGCTTTAGGAAATTAGCTCAAATACAATTTTTTGTTAAGTTAGGCTCCGTGCGCTCAACGGAGCGGATTTTCAGCAAGTAAACAGCTAATCTGACTTTCGAAATTATACAGCCAATGCACTTCGTATGCTTCCAAGAGCGAGATTTATTCTTGAGATTGTTGCTCAAATACAGTCGTTGTGAGCAGCCGCGTACAACATTTTGAGCAGTCAAATTCGCATGTGGGCGTTCAAATGCATTGTAATGATAAATACGGTTGTTTTGACTGAGTCTTTCGTGTGAGACTATGATACAGTTTAGACTACGTGTTAGTCCGAAAGTGTAGGTGCATACCATCCGAGACTGCTCCCGTCATATTTTGGGTGATCTTATTGGAAGTAGCGATCGGAGCGACTTCATAGTTACATTTCGGAACCTCTGGTTTGATTCGAGGTAGCCTAAAATGGGATCACTTACCTAAGAGGCCTTTGTTGTCCAGTTAAATCCTTCGGCGAATAAAAAGGGTAGTCAAGTGGTTCTTGAGGATGTGACTAACGGTTCGTTTGTTGCAATAGATTGATCCGATGAAAAGGAGAAATCTGAAATTGGCCTAAATTCATGCAAACCCTGATCGTGGTTGATCAGAGTCTTCAGCGAGCGTGGCGACCGCTCCCTCCGTGACGGTTGTGGCCAAGTGGTTAGGTCACCTGACTTATGGTTCCACCGCCGCCTCTTTCCTCAGGCAGTCTTGTATGGCCGCAGTCCCCTTCCTGGATATTGACTGTATATTTGAGTAATCAATAAATAAAAAAGGAAGTAAGATGACATTTATTTTTATTTATAGCTGTCTAAAAGACGTGTGGTTCTGCAAATTATTCATGCTACTCATGAGTAGAGTAACGCAATATTCCAACTAAATTCGAAGGTTTCATTTACATTCCGAGCCGAACTGTCGATATAAAACTTGGAGAATATATCGTGTTACCTGTATTCACCAATGCAGTGTGGATAGACTATGAATACCGGAAGTGGCTTTAATTTTTCATCTCCGTATTTGACAAACGATGATTAAAAATGTCAGATTTTTTACCAGCCCATGGACAGAATCATCTTCGGGAACGTTTTTCATCGGAAGATTATACGAGGCACCTGGTTCCAAATTTAGGCAGATTCGTGAATATGTATCTCACCGTAGTGGGAGCTTTATCGATGAATCTAACTCCCCGGTACGTGATTAATCAGAATCTATTATGGTGGTATACATTCAAATCCATTCGGTGATAAGTGAATTTTTCGGTGAGAATGCGAACCA